AAGCTGGGAAGGGGAGTGCTGGGGGGCCGGCTGGGGGAGGGGAATCGGGGAGGCTGGGTTGCAAGGGGGGCTGGGGAGGGGAATTGGGGAGCTGGGTGGCCAGGGGGCCGGCTGGAGGAGGGCTAGGTTGAAGGGGAGCTGAGGGGCTGGCTGGGTTTGGGGAATCGGGAGGGCTGGGTTGCAGGGGGGCTGAGGGGCCGGGGAGGGGAGCGCTGGGGGAGGGGAATCAGAGGGCTGAGTGGTAGGGGGGCTGGGGATGTGTGCACCGGGGGGGTTGGCTGGGGGAGGGGAATCGGGGTGGCAGGGGAGCTGGGGGGCCGGCTGGGGGAGGGGAATCAGGAGGACTGGGAGGCTGGGGAGGAGAGTGCTGGGTTGCTGGGTTGCTGCGGGACCAGCGAGGGGAGCACTGGGGGGCTGGCTGGGGGAGGGGAATCGGGGGACTGGGTTGCAGGGGGGCCAGGGAGAGGAGCCCCCCCTACACCAAGGCGAACGACATCTCCTGCAAAGGTTCCCAGCTGTGTTTATTCCCGCACCCCTGGGGGCCGGACAGACAGATGTGCCGTGGTACGGGGGGGTGGGGTGACACCCCCCGAAACTCCCTCCAACAACGCCATGGGCTGAGGGTCCTGGGACTGCGAGCAGAGGCCAATCTCCAGGCCAGCTAGCAGGTGGTGTGGGGCAGGGGGACCCCTGGGGGGCAGCAGGGGGGCGCCTCCCCTCTCCGTCCTGGCGAGCTGCCGCAGCTGGGCACGGATGAAGCGCAAGAGGCCAGAGACGTCGCGCAGCAGGGCGGCCTCGGGGGGTCCCAGGTCCTGGGGGGCGCTGGCCTGGGCAGAGAGAGAGAGACGGGGTGAGGGTGAGGGTGAGGGGCCATGGCCCCAGGGGATTCTGGGACGGATCCCAGGTGGGGGCAGGGAGGAACTCACCCTCCTGCACTGGACCCAAAGCAGGCCCAGAGCCAGGCCGGCCCCCGCCGCGGCCAGACGCACCCAGTGCAGCGGGACGCAGAGACAACGGCACCGGCAGCTGCTCCCCCACCCGGCAGCGCAGGGGCTGGGCCCGGCCCGGTGCCGACAGCCCGGAGAGCAGAAACACCAGCACCCCCTGCATCCACATGGCGGCCTGGCTCCGCGGCACCGAGCCCAGGGGTTCTAGCGCTCAGGCCCCATTGTGAGGTGGGGCAGGAACCCTGCAACCCAAGGGGGCTGCGGGTTGGGAATGAGGAGTGGGGGCCAGTGGGTTAGAGCAGGGGGCACTGGGAGCCCAGACGCCTGGATTCTCTCCCTAGCTCTGGGCAGGGAGTGGGGGCTGGGAGCCCGGACGCCTGGGTTCTCTCCCTGGCTCGGGGAGGGGAGGGGAGGGGGGGCTGGTGGGTCAGAGCAGGAGTCGGGGGCGGGCTGCACTGGCTGGTCACCCTTTTTCTGTTACATTTTCCAAATCTCTCGGTGCCCCTCTCTCCCTCCCGACCCGCAGCCCCCCAGCTCCCCGCCCGAGAGAGGGGATGTGGGGTCAGCGTTTCCATGTGCACGGGGGAGGACCCGGGGTCCGGGCTGAGCCCTCCAGCAGGAGGAACCTCTGCAACGTCCCTCCTCCACCCCCCTGCTTCATGTTGCCCCAAAGATGCTTAATGAAGGGGGGGTCCATCCCCTGCCCCCCACCATCACGTGGACGTCCAGCTGATGCCCTGGCCGGTCCCCAGCCCCACGAACAAGATGTTCTTTATCCGCTGCCTCCCCCACCCCGGGGCGGCTGATGGTCAGTCCCCATTGTCCTGCCTCGGCTGGAACAGGGTGTCCATGGGGGAGGGGGGGGAAGAGGGGACCGGGAATAGAACAAACGTCTTTGTTCCCCCGGCTTCAAATGGCAACACCAACTGTCCCGCCGCAGCTGGTACCCATGGTCCCCTCGCCCGGCACGGAGATGCGCCCACCTCTGGGGCGGGGCGGCCGGTTCCCCAGGGACCCCTCACCCGGCGCTGAGACGCGCCCACCTCTGGGGCGGGGCGGCTGGTTCCCCAGGGACCCCTCGCCCGGCCCTGAGATGCGCCCAGCTCTGGGGCGGTGCGGCCAGTTACCTGCACAGCAGTTTAGGACAGGAAGTGGAGTGGAGCCGTGACCCAGGGGCTCTGCTGGATTCTCTCTCTCCAGCTAACATGGTCGGGGACGCAGCGGGCAGGACGGGGCCACCCGAGCTTGGATTTAGGGTCTTTGCACCCCATGGGTTGGGTGGGGACCTTTTCCCAGCAAAGGGATCAGGGCTGGAATGTCAGATGGCACCAGAGCCCCGTGCAGGGTCCCCGCCCGGCGCCCCCGGTCCCCCAGCGCAGCGCCCCCCAGCGCCCCCGGCCCCCCAGCGCAGCGCCCCCGGCCCCCCAGCGCAGCGCCCCCCAGTGCCCCCGGCCCCCCAGCGCCCACACACAGACGCAGGCTCGGCTGCTGCTGCTATTTTAATAACCTGAAATACTAGAAAAGTTTCTTTATTACAAATTATGACTATTGCCACCACCGTCCCGTCCCCCCCCCCCCGCGCCTCAGAGGCTCTCTGCCCCCCCCCCACACACAGGCCAGGCCCCTTCGCCCACGTGGCCAACGGCCCCCCCTGCTAGTCCTGGGGGGCTGCCCCTGCCCTGGCCACTCCAGTCCCTCTGCTTTGGGCAGAACCATGCCCACCCCTGCTGAATTGAAGCCCCCACCCTGAGAAGCTGCCCCCCACCCAGAGCCAGGAATCCTAGTGCCCACAGTCCCCCTGCTCTGACCCACTGGACCCCACTCCCCTCCCAGAGCCGGGGAGAGAACCCAGGAGTCCTGGCTCCATCCTGTCCCCCAAGGCACGTGCTGTGTTAGTAGCCACCCCAGTCCGGTGAGGCCCCTGCAGCTCCCTTCACATGTGCGGGATCATAGCTCGTGGTCGCCCCGGCGGTGGTCAGGCCGTGGGGCGGCGGAGCTGGGCCAGCTGCTCAGGGCTGGCCAGGGAGCGCAGGAGCCCGTTCTCCCACTCCAGGGCCGCGTTGCGCTCGGCCAGCTCCTTGATCTGCTCCCGCAGCACCTCCACCTCCTCCCGCACCGCGAACATCAGGTGGCTCTTCACCAGGTCCTGGGGGGCAGGGACGGGGGTCAGCGCCCAGAG